GTTGCACAGGGGCAGGCTGGGAAGCAAACTTCTGGGCAGGCCTGGGGGTGACTGAGTAATTCAATTTTGTAGTAAAGTTTAGATGATAAACCTGCCATTTGCCGGACGCTGAAACAATCCTGTAATGTAAAAACAAATCTTAGTCTTCTGCAAACCATATTATCTTATTTTGCACAACCGTGTAAATATGAATATGCTTGGACTCCATCTTTTTAAATACTGTTATTTTCAAACTTAATTAGTAAACTACATTAGTTAATATGAAGCATTTATTAGTTTTAGTTAATGTTAATTTCAGCATTTACTAATACAGCACATTATTAAAATCAAAAGTTATATCTGAGCCAGCATGAACTAACAATAACCAGTTGTATTTTTATCAACTAGTGTTAAAGTTAACGTTCTGTCATCATTTACTAATGCTGTTCCAAACCAAAAAGACTTCATTTGTTTTCAACTGAAGAAAGCAAGACATTTTAAAAAATGTCTATGAAAAGTGTTGTTTTTGTTCATACAATTAAAGTCAATGAGGTCCAGTGTCTTTTCTTCTAAATGTCTTCTTTTGTGTTCCTTTTTGATCATGTTAACAAACGAAAACTTGTAGTGTTACCAATGCCCCTTACCTCAGTCAAAAGCAAAATGAAGAAGTACTTAGTAATTTTTTCCAAGTAATATTTTCATATCAGAACAGATTATGGAAGCTAGTTCCCACCATGGGATAAAAATAAATAAGAATTGCAGATTTGTCAGAATTGCAAGCTTAAAAATTCAGAATTTTAAGATATAAACTAGCAAATCTTATTTATTTTTTGCTTTGTTTATATCACAGGCGTATATGAAGACAATGAAACACTAAGAAATTGATTTTGAAATACAGTGCTTACATTTATTAGACCACCTGTCATAAAGAGAAAACACAAATATATTAGGAATCTGTCAAAAACTTTAAAACTAAACATTTTATTGTCATTTATTAGGCAAATAACAAACTGAAACAACTACAGTAAATAGGCTTTATTCACAAAAAATAACCAAAAAACACTACTGTGAATGAAAAGCTTACACATACTGGTGAATTAACCAAAACAGACACATAAATTAATGAATTTGGTAATCACCAGTACTGTTAGTTTAGGGCAGATGTGGCACAAAAGTTACATTGGGTGGTGGTCTAATAAATTTGTTAAGCACTGTACATTTCATGAAATGCAAATACTCTGCACTGATACACACATGTAAACACCCTATATTATATACACTGCACTACACTCCCATTTTATTATCATTACAATTGCTATGCAAGTTAATAATAAACTCATAACTTGATATGCTGTCCCAGTTTGCCAGTATGCCTATGGTAACATGGGACATAGGAAAAATGATTTTGAAGTTTGCCAGGACAAAAGTGTGAATAAGTCATGCAACTTCTAATTTCTGGGTGAACTATTGCTTTAACAAAGCAATTACTTTATTATCTCTCTCAAAGCAGATAAACGTTTTGAACGGGTCAAAGGGTTTCATATGCAATAATCGCACAATGCGTTCACATCAGACGGGCTGTAGCTTGGTCCAGTTCCTGTGTCTCGGCTAAAGTTCCAGGAACTGCACATGATCACAAGATAACGATTAGGAGCCGAGAAAACACACTTAATTGAGCAAACGGCATGTAGCCACTTGGCCAGACAAAGAAAGCCTTTTATCACTCGCCTCAAACGATCAGCTTCTCTCAACACAATGAGCTCTGTCGCTGCTTGCTATGATTTTAGTTCATCTAAACAAGGTTCAACTGACTGAGGGCAAATCTGTAATTTGGTAAATTACACGCACCAAAAAAACAAAAAACAAAAAAAACCCTGATCAGGAACTGTGATCTGTGCTTAAAATATCTCAAAGATGCAGTGAGTCAGTGTTTTTATTTGGTGACAGAATCAAACAGATGAATTTCAGTAGAACAACAAAGATGTTATTCAAAATTCTGCTTGACAGACGTGATCAAAAGAAAACATGATTTTCAGTTTTTTGAGTAACTATTTCTTTGAACACAGGCTGTCAACTTAGGGCTGGACAATAATTCAATATCAATATGTATCGCAATATTATTTTTTTCAATAACGGTGATATGATTTTTAAACACATTTCCGATATTTCTATATACATTACCAGTTTCCCATTCATTGATTTATTTGTGCCGTTTGACTTCGTTGAATAAACATGAGCACTGCACGTTTCAAAATCATAACACGACGAGCATTCATGAGCGGAGCTGATTTGATTACAGCCGTTACTGGAGAAACCGCTAGTTTTATCGCTCTAAAAGCGCCTCCTGCTGGCAGAGAATCAGTTTTCATTTTAAATAAGCCCGTCTCCAGCAAGGTTATTTTCGTAAACTAAAACTAAAACGAAAACGATTGGTCAAAAAACATTTTCATAAACTGAAATAAAATGTAAAAAATCTAAATAAATTGATGCGTGTCGGTTTAGGGAAATACCGGGAAATACCCGTAAATGGCGCATCATGCACGTGAGGTTATCTGACGGAAAGACGCAAAACAGTTTAAAGCAGAGTCCTGCACGGGTCCTGTTAGGTAAACCTGCATCCGCAGTACACAACAGAACACCCGACCCGTTATCCGACAGCAGCCAGCACCAATTCAATTCTGTACCCAACCTGTTTGACATAAAGACCGCAACCTGAACCGCACCCGCATTAAATAGGCTACTGCATCAGTAAGGCAAAATTATTTATTTTCTCATGTGACACAAGCAATCAAACCAAAATAGGCATTTTAAGTTGGTGCTTTGAAGAGAAATAGACAAGCAGCGCAACAGAAGAATGATAAGAACGCGCATTAATGCGCACCGCTGCAAATCCAATGTTGAGGCTCTGCCATTATTATTGAATTTCATTAGTCACACTTATTTATGCACGTTTGTTCGTGGGAAAGTGAGTAAGACACGACAGTTACGGTATCATGATTATAGTTAAACAAGATGAAAGACATAGGCTATAATATAAAGAAATTAGCTACATTTATTTTCAAATTAAATATCACAACACACATTTACCATTCAGTCTAGTGCGTTTTACATATAATGTAGGCGCAACTTGTGTAGATTTAAAAAGGCATGACTGCTT